AAAAAAAAAAAAAAAAAAAGACATAGTGAACTTGTTCAGAACTTATTTATTAGATGACTTTCTTCATCACCAAAAATTCACCTGCTGAATATGAATTTTTTAGGTAATCTTTTTCCCCTAATCAAATTTAAAAAAATGAAGCCTTAAAGCTACCATTCTCAGTAAGGTTTTAGATTAGAGGGTGTTCAATTGGCGTGGGGTTCAGCTTTTACCCTCAACCCATAGAACATTAAATGATCACTGTAAACTCCAACAGAAAGAATCCATATTTGCATTTGTCTTAAAATTCTTAGCAGTGCTATTAGATGGTGGTAGTTGTTTGACTGAGATGTATTTTAATTCTGTTCAAGGTTTTTGCTGGAGATGTCATTTTAGAGGTTAATGGTCAACAGATTACACAGTTCACCACAAGTCAAGGTGAGTGAAAACTGTTCTCCCCTACTCCTTTCCCCCTCTTTTGCAGTGGAATCTTAGTTCCCTGGCTCCTCTCAGACTTACATACAAAATAAAAACTATGGTGACTCTCTTGGCTGCATGAATATTCATGCTCTGACTGCTTAGGGGGGGTGGCCCAGGGAATGGGTGCTTATTCAAGGAATGTAGTATTCAAATTACCAGTCCATGTTTGTTCAGTGGTAGATGGTGAAGAGCAAAGTCAGGGCTCAACAGCCACAGACTAGTAGAAATTCAGTTCTGGCAAGTGGCTTTCTATTTCCACTAACCAGTTTGGCTAGTTAACAAACTGAAATTGTCATAACATCTAAGATGAGCCCTGAAAGTACTGGGGAAGTTGTTATACTTATATCCATAACTATCTGATCTTTTTAAAGTACATTATGGTGATAATGGTCAAACAGAGTCCTTATTAATTCAAACTTCTGCAGACTAAAACTTAAGATATTGGATTGACATCTTTTGTAGAGGCAAAGTTATTAAAATCTAACTGTTTCTTTAACTTTAGTTGTAGAAAGTATCCGCAACACACAGGATAATTTGAGGATCCGTCTAAGGGATGGTGAGACCAGTTTTTTTTCTTTAGTTACTCTGTCAACAAATTCATTATGGATTGAACAAGTTTTATTTGTGTACCTCTTTAACAGGAGGGGTATGTCAAATTTTTCTCTGGCATTTGGCATGATAAATTTAATTTCAAATCAAGAATTGTGTATGATTGTTCCATGTAGTCCTCTGCTCTGCTTGGTTGTGTGTATTCTCTGTGTCTGGCATGTACAGTGACCCCTATACATAGTTACATACATACATACATACATACATACATACATCTTTATTTAACGAGGGTAACATATTAACTTACATAAGTTTTCTAACATATGGCCCTCACATAATTATATACACAGTACATTTTACAATTACAATTAATTTTACATTACAGATTTTAATATAATTCATACACATAAAAAATATAATATGACATGATTTCACAAAAAAGACGAATCAGTTTGAATAGCAATTACAATCTAGTAAAAAACAGCAATCAGTTAAAGCTATCTATGAGAATTAATCCAAATAATTCCTCTTTTTTCATGACAGGGGTGGTGTGAGAAAAGTTTAGTTCAAATTAGGCTTGGAGGGGAATTTGTAGCAAATGTCTGATGTTCTTATAGCTGAAGGTGGATACATGTGTAAAGGTTTGGGGGGAAGGGTACTAGTATAAATAGAACAGGTCAGAGGTTGTTAAAAATGTTATGTCTTAAAAAATAGTGTGATTTTTTTTTTTTTGTACTGTTTGGTTTAAACTTAGATCAAAAAAAGTTTGACTGTGCTGTTGAGCATCTGTACAGTATCTATATCAAATAATAATAATAATAATAATAATAATAATAATAATAATAATAATAATAATAGTAATAATAATGACTTTATTGGATTATGCAATTACTGGTAGAACCAGTAGTTCTCATTGTGGTCCATGCAACAACAACTGAAACAAATAATTCAAATTGAACATAACATTATTAAGAATCCCAACTGGCCGAAGGCAAACCAGTTGGCTATTTGCAAGCATGGCCGAGGATTTGAACTCAGAGCTACCGTGAAACAAATCCAGGTAGTGGTCAGAGTGGGACTCGAACCCGGAAGCAGGAGATTGCAAGTCCGACATGCTGACCACTCGGCCGCACTGCCTAAATCACAGATTTAAGTCATGAGAATAAAGAATGCGATCTCCAACTAAAGAAGCTCTTCACCTTTAAATAAATTCTCCTTGTTTGCATCTAAGGAAATGTTAAGAGAACATTCTGGAGATTCCGCATACCGATATTACAGGATGTCAAGGGTTAAAAAAATGTGAATACCCATTGGAATTCTTGTGGAACAAATGAAATGTGCGTGTAATGGTTCCAAACCATTTTGACTTGTAAGGTTGATTTGAATTTTTCTTTTTTGAGAATTAATAATTATTGATGATTCATCTTACTGGAACAAAGGGAATACAAGGAAAATAAAAAATGATTGATTAAATATAGGCCTGTGGTATGTACAGATATGACTTGATATGTATTTTAAAAAGTGCAGTCGTGTTATCTGTTGGTTGCATTAATTGTTATAAAAGTATTGTTCTGAAAAATAGGCTGCACACATGTAAGAGAAGGATAAACTGAAAATGACCTGGAAAAATGGAATGATATCATACATTGTTATCTGGACAATTATTTCAATGGATTGCTCAATTAGTAGAAAGTTAATTTTTTTTTCGTGGAGGATCAAGTATGAGAGCATTTAACTTATAGTTTGTATTGAAGAAGAAAAATTTGAATCTTCATGGTAACTGTTTTTTGTGATTTTTTTTTCAAGAAACTCATACTTCATTAATAAGGCCTAGTCTAGAGATTCTGAAAATCTTAAAGTGGTATAGTGTGATTGTGTAAATCAAGTACTGAATTTCATTATCACAGGTTTTTCCATTCTGAGTTGTTGAATTCTCAAATTAATGGTAATTATGACACAAAGACAAAACAACCTTTAACACTTCCCTTCCGCGCTGCTGTAAACGCTGTATTTTGCTGGACTTGCTGGTCACTTTTAATGAAGAAACAGGATGTAATTTACAACTCATCCTAAAAAGAGACAGATTTGAACAGATAATTTGTAATTGGGGGAAAGCTGTTTGAGATACAAGTACATGTTGTTGTGTTTCAGACAGTGAGGCAAGCCTCTGAACATTGGCGTATTGTTTTCTTGAACTCATCAAGCATTATTTTTAGTTGAAAATTAAACTTTTCTTTTTCTTTTTTCTCCAAGGTATTTTCTGCAGAATATTGTACTATAATGATCTCATGCTCTGCTTAGCTTCATGCACATTTTAATTTTTAATTTGAAAAAGTGGCCTTTCAATTGGTAAAATGAAAAGTTAGGCGTTGCCAAATGTTTTTGATCAACAGGAAGTTTATGCCCAAGCATCTTAGGCTATTTCCTTTTTGAAACATGAGAGATTCTTTGTTCAATTGTGGTGTTATTTAACTCCCAAAAGATGGCTGTTTTGCCCTTTAAAACTGCCATTAACTGAATTTATAAGTGTAAAGGGTCTTTTGTAAGATAGGATTGTCATGTGTGGGTGTATGAAAGTAGAAATTGTATTTAATTCTTTCTTTTTTTTTCCAGCAGGAAGTGGTATGTTTTTTTAATGACCTGGCTTAACTTGAAAACTTCCTGCATTTTGCTTGAATTATGTTTATGTTAATTTCTGAATACAATGATACCAGTATTCTTTTGTTTCAACTAGCAATTTTTTTTTTAAAATCACAAATTCAACAGTACTGTACATTTATTTTGGATTCATCGCTTTGTTGTGCAAGTCAGCAAGTTAGCAATGGAATGTCACATCCCACACAAGAAATCCTGTGTGGAACTAGAATGAAATGTCGTGACCTTTAGAATGTGAAATTTGAATCCTATTATATTGTATTGCACACTTCAGTAGCGACTACGTCTCTATACCATGAAGCATGTCAAGGTTTGTGTGGTTTGAATCTATACATGTTTCCCTTTGAATTGATTTATGCCAAGAAATTGAAATTGCATGACTTACTTTCTAACTACCTGTTGAGATAAAGGCTTTCCATTGTTTTTATATGCATAAATGGGAAAGGCAAATGATTGAAACAAGCTTCAAAAGAGCACATCTTGTTCTGAAGTTGGTGGTTTTGATTTTATGTAATGTAGTGTTCCTTGATAAGAGCCTTAAAGTGAAGGAATATTAGTTATAAAGGAAGTTGAAATGTGAGTTTCACTGTTTTGATATGCAATGAAAGTTTGGTTCAGTGCCAATATTGATTGTAATGTCAGAAAGTAGAACTGAGGGGTGAAAGCTGATTCGAGTGATAGTGTTGGATGACTCAGTAGCTAGGAAAATCTGTATTAATTTGCCTTCTTGCTATTGGAAATTCAGTTTCAATATTTGTAGCTTTGTAAGAAAGGTCACAGCTTACTTGATAGCAGATGCAACTTAGGTATGGAAAACAATGCATAATCTTAATGTGTGTTATTCACTGAGTGTGTTTAATTCTTTGAGGAATCGACAAAATTATTCTGTCAAGGTTATGTTGTTGCATTTTAACCAAAAGTTCTCCTTGCTTTTAGGAGTTACAGTACATGTTAACTTTAATTGGCCAAAGAGTGGGTTGTTATCTTTCAAGAGTGTTATTCTGTTGCTAAGGTTTTGACATCTGTTCAAGATTTAAGATTATGATATGGTAAAGCAGCTCCTGTAGTGTTCTGAAGGTGGTTATAATGATGTGCAACAAAGTTTCAACAAAAAGTGATTTCAAAAAGAACTTTGTAAAGGTAGTATTAGGAAATTCTGCTCTTGTTTTATACTGTTCATGTATCTCAGTAATGATTTTGACAGAATTCTCTGCTTGAATGTGAAACCTAATATTTATTCATAGAAAGAGAATGTCTGACTTCAATCTGATCTTCTCTTGGTGTAGCATTTTATCAAAGCTCTCAGCTGATAACAATTAATTACACTGCTGAAACTTCCATCAGACACTGCTCAAAGTTTACTTTCTGTGAAAGGTATCCCAGTTTTTCTTTTAACTTTGATCTCTTTGTGTGTTTTAATTGTATGCTGTTCAGGTTGGCTGCTGGTGGATTTCATAATCTCTTCTGATGGCCTAATTTTAAAACTGAATAAGATTGTAGGGTTCTTAAAATAGTTGTGTACAATTTCCTGTGCTAGATGTACGTAATTACAGAAAACCAAGCTAATATTGCATGAGTACAAATTATAATTATTTAGCCATCAGGACTGATTCTGATCATCACAGAATTAGCTTTAAATGTTTAATTAAGTTCAGAACTTTGATGTGCTGTAAAATAGATAGAATGATGAATTCTGACATTGTGTGACAAACTGTTTAAGTCCATTTACAGGAGGTCTTGCTCGCAGTGTACGGTGTCTATATACCAGAATGTTTCCCTTATTTGACTTTTTTTATACCATGGCATTCAGTATTTTTAACACAGGTTTATTCTATAGTACCAATATACACAGATTTTGAGTGACAAGAAATTTTTGTTGTGAAGTGTTTAACTCATAATGTGTAAATGTTGTGAGCAATTTGAATTCTTGAAGTCATGAAAATGTCATCTGGCTTATATGTAAATTTCGCATCTGATTTTTTGGATTGTCAGTGGTAACAGAAAGCAATATCTCAAAAATATTCTGATATGTCATCTACTGCATTATGTTATATTGGTGTACCGCAGAGAGGATTATAATGTGTTGATTGAAACACGGAAGAATAAGAAATCTAAAACCTACTGGACGAGGTATAGTGTACACTAATTTGCTGTAGCATCATTTTTTTTGTTCCTTGCCCATCCATTTACCACTAAGGGGAGGTTTGGGCCAAAGAATTATGGTACGTGTTGTGTAGTTTCAGTGTGATTTGAGTCAAAATAATTCAAAATTATATGTGTTTTTGTTCCAGATGTCTCATTTATATTCTCAGAGAAAAATTATTCGTCCATAGCTTAAAATTATTTCTGGGTCAAAATAATTTGGACCTCATTTCTTATTTCCTTTGTACTAGATGAATTTTCTTTAATCTATAGGGGAATACAAATCAACTTAGTGTTAATTCAGATGCACCATGTAAAATGTGAATTCCATATTAACTATAATAATATAACCTACAGGATATGCTGTGTATAAATGTTGTTTCAAAAGATGAGTGTAATTGAAAATCTCCAAAATGTTTTCCTTTGAATTACTAGCTACTCACTTAATAAACATACTTCTTTTTTTATCAGTGTAGAACATGTTTTTTTTTTTAAATTTTATTATGTAATAAAAGGAATCACAATTCTTGTATTGCATGTCTGACCAGTGCACACTCAATTGTATTAATTTTGAAAACAGAGGTATTTCCTATTAGTGATAAGTACAGTAATGTGTGAATGATTGTTAAATAAAACAAATCTCCTTAAAAAAAAGATTAAAACTGCAACCATCAGGATTTCTATGCATTGCATGGAATGGTTTGATATGTCCTATAGTCAATGAGATACACTTTTATTAACTTTTTAATATATTACATAGGAAAATTATTGTCAGAGTGTCAGACAAAGTCTGCCCTTAGTCTCACTCTTCATTAGCATAAGTTGATTATTTTATTATTGTGCGAGGTTTTATTTGAAGAGCATCCTATTGACCTAGAAAACTAACAATCAGTAATTCTTGGTCACCATATGAGTGATACCATTGACCAGTTAACAGTATGGTTTGTTGACCAACTGACAGCTCATTGTAGAAGCTGTTAAAGAGATAATAAGTGACCATGTTAATTGTTGGTCTCAACTCTTTCACCTTGACAGACCCTGGGGCCAGGGAGCGTGCCCGTCCATATCTCAGATCCTTTTCTGTTGCTGACCCTAAACTAGCCATTTGTCAAGCAAGGCTGAAGAGATCTTCTTCAGCACCAAATCATTGTAACCGCTCTCACACTGATCAACTCCCTCGGAGAGCAGTCAGAAAGAAAGAAGAAAAAAACATGCAGAAGGGCACAAGCACAAGTACAGAGGATGTCAGAGCTGTAGGTCGTATGAGTCTTATAGGATTGGAGCAAGGTGTTGATGGTATATTTGTGCGCAGAAACGATGATGTGGTAGAAAGAGTAATCACTGACTTTCCTGTGCGTGTTAATGTCCCTTCAAGTAGAACAGATAAAATTAATCGACCTGAAAGTTTTAAAAGACAGAGTTATCCCAATGAGGGACACAGAACTAGTAGAGAATCTTTACCAGAAAGTTGTAGTAACTGTGGACAACCAGTTGATTACCCTAAAGATGTAGAATACAAATCTTCCACTGATCCATCACAGTCATCTGAGTATTTAACATGTAAAAAATGTGGGCATGTCAGGAATTATTCTTCTGATGGAAGAAGCCTTCCAGGAACCCCGTATTCTAATCATAAAACACTAGAACCTTCTCCATTTGGGTTGTTGTCACAACACAATCAATCACCAACTAAAC